ATCAAGCGGCTTGCCGTACTCCGGCAAAACGAGGTGCGGGGGAAAAACAGTCCTGGCGGCCTCCCAAGAAAAAAAAAAGAGGGTCCCCGCCTGGGGATCAATGCATGCACACAAAATAAAATAAAATAAAAAAACAATTACTGTGCGCATACACCGACGCAGTGGCCCACAGTTGCACAAAAAAAAAAGTAAATGAGGAGGAAGAACCGTCTGCCGTACGACGCGCGGGCACACACGGGCGAGCGCCTTCCTCGCCGTACCCCTCCGGCGAAGGCGCATGTGGCAGAAACAAACCCGTGCCGCGTGACGCCGTGCAGGGAGGGAGCTGAAGAGAAAACAAAAGATGCACAGTCCGGCCAGGCACAGAAGCATTCGAGACAAACGAGAAACAGCCAACAAACAAATCGTACGCGTGCGCAAGAGTCAGCCATCAGTCCCTGGCATGCAATTCATAGTTGAAACAACACACGTTTCTCTCGGCGCACCCGGGCGGAACAGACACACACACAAACGTCATTCCATTGCACATGTCAAACGGGTCCTTACGCGACTGAACTCCAGACGCAGCGTCACCTCATCCGGGCGCAACTCCAGGAGACTCTGCCACTCACGCTGCACATTTCCTAAGAAACGTATCAAATCATGCCGCATTTGCAACTGGTCCCCCCTAATCTGCTGGGCAGTGGCGGCTGCAAGGGAAAGGCATGCTGCTAGCACTCCTGTGTTTTGCTTCCTCCCATACCAAGACGAAGGTGCGTGAGCTCCAACACGACAGGATAAGTAAAACAACTGCTGATGATAGAAAGGGTCCCTGAACATCCCCTTCAAGGAGGACGGGGGATCGGCAGAGATGGACTGCAACATACCCAAGGCACCTTGCAAGGCATCTGAGTTCGGTTCCTCCCGACTAAAATCCCTTTTGTAGTTCCTACAAAGACGCTCCTCCCGCTCCAATCGCCTTAGGAGCTCCTTAAATAAATCGGTGGCATCCGCTCGACATCGAGGATGCCGCAACCACCACTCCGCGTACCCAGAGGCTGCAAGGTCGAGTGGCCACAACTTAAGAAGATCCAGCCAATGCTTGTCCACTATTTCTTCTTCTCGGAGCTTTACGGGGCCAGACGTAATGGAGTCACCCGCCAATGTATACGAGACGGCGGAACGAAGCGCACTTAAGAAGCCTGATGAGGTGATTGAATCCGGCAGGGACGACATGGACACAGTATCATTAGCTGGGACTTGTTGCAGGTGCAGTAGCGATAAATCCCTAGTAGATCCCAAGCCCAAGGCACGGAACCCCAAACCTTGTTCCGCCTTGACGTCTTTTGCGGCGCCACCATCATCACCGCCAACGGAGAAACTGCAAACCTCATCAATGGGCAAAAACCGCACACCCACCTGAGCCGGTGCAATCAGTTTACATCCACGCGTCATCGTCTGCCTCGCGCCGCCGGAGGTCGCGGTGAAAGCCCTTTTTCCTCCACTCCCTCCAGCGTTTGCAGCAACTGATGCCCCCGTTGACCCATCATGCCTGTTTTTCGTGGGACTCATGCCACCAGATGGTCTCATTTGGGCCTATCAGCCACACAAGCCCACCATGCACTGATGCAGCTTTGCCTGAAAGCTCCCTTCACACTTCCACCTCCCTCCCGTCCCCACCTTCGCTGTGAGTGCGCTGCTTCCCCTTAGTGCAGTTTTTCAGGCGGCCCAGGTGCCCATTTGGCGGTGTCGGAGAGGAACCAAGGTAAGACGACAAGACAGGCCTCGCATCCCTCCTTCCCGCGGTGACGGTAGGACAGGGGAGACTATGCAGGGGAAAGGGGAAATCAAAGGTCATACACGACCAGGCGCGTACCGAGCAAGGGGAGGAAAGAAAAGGGCATCTCCGCCCCGCCACAAGAAAAAAAAACAACAATCTACACACAGCTTGGTGTAGTCACCAACCCTGTGGAAATAAAGCCTTGAAGCGACGGACGTAGAACTTTTGTCTGGGGCCGCCAATGTCAGACCCGTATTGTCCGCGCGCTCTCCAAATATCACGGCTATGCGTCAGCGGCTTCTGCCCAATCTTCGCGTGGTAGTCCGGATGCACATGGTACATCGAGGACTTAAACTCAGTCACCTCCGGCGTTTTCGTTTCCGCGGCTCCCACGGCGTTGCACCGCTCCATCTCCCTAATACGCTGACGATCCCTTTCCAGAGAGTGGTGCAGCATTTCCTTCGAAACCTCATCTCTGGAATGAAACCAGTACATGTTCTGCGCGTACGTCTGAATAGCCGCGGCTCGTTCCCACCCAAGAAGAAGCTTGTAATCCATTTCCTTCATCGTTAAGGAATCATTGAGAGAATTCCGAAAAGCTCCCCGAACCTCTTCCGTCACGATATCCCGCCGAGAGCGTAACGGAAACCGATTTGCCCCTTTAAGAAGGGCACGGTAGAGGCGTAACTTCTCCTGTCGCTTGTATAGATTCCCAGACATTTCCCGAACACCCACTGACGATATATATATATATCTTGCGTTTCGAAGGAAACGGCAGGAAGAAGCAAAAGTTAGCCCTCGTGCCTTCACGACAGGGAGGGCCACGCCAGAGGAGACCTAACTATACTACAAGAAGGCAACCGCCATCCCACGCCTCAGCAGCACAAGAAAAACGGAAACGGGGGAGAATGGGAAAGAATCATTGTAAATAACGCGTCCATAAGTCTGTGTATCTACATTCACAGATACGCCCCATGGCATGACCAACAAAAACGCACCAGGAAAAAAAAACATGTCCTACTCAAGAGCGCAAATCATCGCCCCACAACTTGAGCATCAGATAAAAATACGCCACAAACAAACAAAAATGCACCTAAAAAATTGCGGGGTAAAATATTCCTAGAGAAAGATAGAAAATGACAATAAAAAAAAAAGGTCAAATGTTGGGCCAATGCGCCCAGCATCCCCCTCCAAAAGGGCACTTGCTTTATCCAGCACTCATCCACAAGTACAGACGAATGTATTCAGAAAGCATGGGGCGATTATAAACGGGCCCATTCTAAGCATACGGATTGGCACCCGGTTGTGGCCCCGCACCAGTCGGCATCCCCACGAAGAAGGTAGTGGCAGAAGTACGGGATTAGTGGCTTTGACGCCAAAGAAACAACCGCATCCGCGTCACTTTCTAACGCGGCAACAACTGGAAACATAAAAGTAAGTAATCGATGATGCACATACAGATAAAATAAAAAAAAATGCTATAATCAACGGCGCCCTTTTTGGTGGCGCATTACCCCAAACGCTTTCAAACCAAATAAAATACTAATAAAAGAGAAAATGAACCCAGATATGCTAATGGTGCATTACACATCGAGATGTTATTCACATTTACTTCGTCTGGTTTTTGGCTCGTCATTTTCTCGTATTTTGCACGGCACGATGGCTGTCAGGGCAAACAGGGAAGTAGAAGAAACTGGTGAGAAAAGGGGTGTGCCTTCTACAAG